ACTGAATTGTATTGCAAAATAAAAATAAAAATTAAAAAAAAAAAGAAATAGTACTGAGCTGTGGGAAACTTATCTTAAAGAGAATACTAAAGCCAGCAAAGTCAGCAGTCAAGCAGTATGTGGTAGCTTTCAAACCAGCCCATCACCTTTGATAGTGCTTAGCTGTCAGTGTCCTTTTCCCTTTCCTCTCCACTAGCCACACATCTGGGAATCCAAAATTACACAAGCATTTTCTTGGGCCACTTAAGATTCACACGTTTTCATTGATTGTAGTTAATCTTGTAAGTAAACAGCTTAATGAAGTATTGAGTTCTTCTATCATCTAGAACAGTATTTGTGACAACTACTCTAAACTTAACTTTTCCTTATTTCAAAAGTAATTTAGTTGTCTTAAGGAACACAAAATTATTGCTTTAATATTTGGCATTAGCTTGTTTTTTTCCTTTTTGATATATTTGCAAAATATCTTTAACTTAAATATAATATTTGCAACATATAGTAAAATTAAAAAATATCATTTTTATGAGGTTCATTTTAATATTGTTATATATCAAAAAGACAGTTTTAAAGACTCTGATTCATTACTATGAGAAAACTTCATTTATTAATCAGGACAGTAACTCTCAAAGAAGTGAAGCAGGTCAATTTTATCCAGCCTAGCAGTTAAACTACTTCTACATCTCTCTCTTTAAGAACTTGTGACTACTTAAAAAAAAAAAAAAGTACTTGAGACAAACACCATGTGAGGCCTCTTTCATTCTAAGGGATACATGCCAAAAGAGTTTGAAAAGATTCTCCTGTCATGTAGGAGCATAAAAAAATGTAATTTATATACCCCTGGTTTATGAGCATCATGGATCTAAACTTTGGCTCAGAATCTAGGTCATTGTGAAAAGAAATGACTAAAGAATATCCAGAATACAGGTGCAGCTACAATTCAATTACATACTTTCCCTTCGTGCAGGGTGTGTCTTTGTTCTCACAGATGGAAGATGTGTCCTTCAAATCTTCAACAAAAAAACGCCACCACATTAAAGAACTCTAGGAATTCCTGCGACCTGAACTGTAGCAATAACCATGCTATCTTCAATTGCCTTGCATAAGGATATTATGTACTTTCATCTCCCGCCTGTCAGTTCCCGACACATTTGGCAAAGCACATTAACAGGAGAAATGAAAACAATCATTTGAATACAAAGCTTAGGAAAGGAAACCACATGAAATATCGGATAACCAACATCTCCTAAGAATGTCTTTTCAGATTTTGAAAAGAAGAAGCAGAAATACAGTCATGCATTCTACTGATAATCTAGTCTTTGCTTTCATCATTCAATTTACGTTTGCCTAAAGGAAGACAAGAAAACAAAAACAGGTATGATCTAAATAAGAACAGAGATTTCAAAACCAAACTGCTGATTTTTAGCCTACTCATTTCTCTCTGTGTAAAAACGATCATTTTACAGTCTTTTAACAGTTCAATGGTCATAATTTATACCAAACGCACAGATGGTCTTGGAGTGGTACAATTTCGGATGTTAATACTTCCTGGCATATGGAACACTACTGTGGATCAGCATTTTGGCAGCATTTAAGTGATTTTAAAATTATTTATACATTAATACCTTGGAATCATTTCACAGCCATAGGTTATTACATCTTTAAATTGTCTGACTCCTGATTAGAAGTAGTTTTTATATTGATTCTAGACTGTTGAAAGTATTGAGTGCCTGGTGCTTTTGAATTAGAAGATGGTATCCCCTGGGGCATTGAAAATAAATATGATTCTCTAATAAATTAAAGACTGGCAGAAACCATAAAATTGTCTAATACAAAATATGATGCAGGAGGAGTTTCCAAGATTTTTCTAAAAAGCAAACAAACAAAAAAACAAATTTACTACAGCAGGTTTAAACTAGGAATGTTATAAAAATGAACACATATGTATTGATATAAACTTAAAAATTAACTGGCACATTGTATTTTTTAATCTACCATATTGAGACATAACCTATGAAGAGTCCTGTGTGGTCTGAGCCCAGTTTCGGTATTTTTAATAAACTACCCTCCTCGACCTCCCCTGAAATGTTACTTGTCAGGTTCATCTTTGACAGACACCAAGTTCTTACATCTAGTGGTCCACCCTTAGTCCTCATGTTCCTTGGTCTACCAGCTGCAACTGACTCCTCCCCAGATCCACTTTAAAACATTGGACAGCCCACGGGGTTTGCTTTCTTTTCCACTTTCGGTTTCTGTTGCTCAAGGATCCTTTGTTTTTCTCCTTGAGAGCTAAACCCCGCATCTCTTCCTTTCTGTCGAGACTCATTCCCTAAACACTGTCACTTTTCAGCAATGAAATAACAGGTAGACCCTGGTGAGTCTCATATGTGTCAGGATAGACACCTTTGTGTTAGGCAAACTGCAGGACTTCCATCAGCCATAATCTAACCTACATCCATCCTCTATGCTGGTCATGGGCCCAGAGTTGAGGAGTGTAGAGTTCTGTGGCTCATAATTTAGGCCTAGAGCCATGTGCCATATTCCATGGTCTAAGTTGGCCCATATAGAGGTTGTCTAGTGGTAAAGACCATATACCTGAAGTTCACTCACTCACTGGTATTTAATAATGTTTTGGTGTTTTCACTCCAAATACACACAGCTGAAGTAGTCCAGGAGACTGCCTGAGAAGCTCGATCAGTCTCCCATCTGCTCACAGGGAGGAATCAACTGCATAGTAATGAGTACTTGTATGCTCACCACAACTTAACTTATTCTCCAGGCTCAACCTCAAGTCTCAGTTTCTGACTCATACACCCAACTGCCTATTTCATATATACTTAGATCTTTTATGAGCATTTGAAAATTACCATGTCTAAACCTCAGCTCCTGACACATCCCACCCCAATCATCTACATTCAATGCATCGTAGTTAACGGCGCCCACACATTCTGACTTTCTCGTGCCAACCCATAAAAGTATGCCTTGACTCTTCTTCACATCTTACAGGCCATATCCAGCATGTCTGAAATTTTGGGGGGTACTACGTTATAATATATTCAGGATCTAATTACTCTCCAGCCCCTTTGCTCCTAATGGATTGGTTCAACCCATCATTTATCTCATGTCCGGAGTACTGTAAAACCTCTCAACTAGTCCATCTACTTCTGAGAAGGCCACCATTCACACCTCCTGATCTCACAGTGACAAATGTCTCCTAACTTGACTTAGAGGGAAACAAAATACTTGCACTATCCGTAAGGTCCCACATAACTAGGCCCATTTGCTATGTGCAGACATTATCTTCTATGACTCTCCCTTGCTTGCTCGAGTCAGCCCACACTTCTTCTTTGTTTCTAAGTGAAAATGTCAGTTGTTTATCACCTTTGGGTCTAGAATCAACTGCTTTGTCTGATCAAATTACACATTTCCTGAATATCTGTCCATTTTTCTGCTCACTTCCCCCATATTTTTATTGAGGAATTCTCTGATCATTCTTTTAATATTACAGACCTACTCAATCTCTAATGAATCCTTCTCTACCTTGATCTATTTTATTTTTTAAATACCATTGTACAATTTGCAAACTATATAATACAATTATTTAGTTGGTTTTGTCCAGGGCAACCTCACCACAATTTACTTAACTCTTGGTATTGAGAATTTTGTCTTTAATTTATATTAAATACAAATAGGTGCTCAGGAGAAACTTGAGAAAGTCAAATATAATAACCATTTAAGTGTGTCTGAATTATTAAGGCAGGGAAATGGGAAGTATAGAGAGTATGCACTAATGTGATCTGGAGTATGATACAAGGGTAAATGTTTTTATGTTAATGGTACACAGAACCCAAAGTAATCATTGTCACTAGCTAGGGAAGTATTTATTCTCAGTCTCTATTCCCCTGTGCTCTTGACTTCATTTCCCCAAGCAAACGCGTTACAAATAATTTTCACTGTTTGTGACTTTTCAGTGCCTCTTAGAAGCTGATAAAGCTGAATTATCTTTTTCCAGCTTCAACTTCTAAGAAAATTTGAGACACTCATTTGAAGTCAGATCAGTGATGAAAAAAACAAAAGCAAAAACAAAAAACATTTTATTTCCTTCCCTAAACCTGGGTCCAGCTGCTCCTTTTCTTGTTCTCTCCCTGCTGAACTATCATGCTACTTGGTTAATTGGTTGTTCAAGACCAGTGCAAGCATTTCGTAGATGCTCGTGATGTGTGTTATGACTTCTTTGATAAATTAGCAGAAGTCAGTGTCTTACGTACACCCTCTCCTGAGCCACAACAGAAGACATCAGCATATATGAAACAAGGGAATACGAAGAGGGGTACAGCACAACCACAGAATCCATGCGAGCATGTTTGATGACAGTGGCCAGTGAACAGCACACAGGACAAAATACGTGAAAGAGCCACATGGAATCATGGCTTCAAAAAGCACAGCATATACTTTCCTACTTCCATTGTGGGTTTCAAATCTAATCTGTACCCATGGGATTTTATTTTCTAATGAGGCACAGTTATCATTTGCTTAGTAAGAGAGAGATTTTACTATTCAGAAGCAATACTAAACTACATAGAGTAGAAAAGCGAATCAAAAAGGAGAATGGGGTAAAGCAAGCCCTTGAAGTAAACCAGGAGACCTTCCGAAAATACCTTCCGTAAATAATTTTTTTAATAATGTTAACTGTAATATGTGGAGATGTTCTAAGCTTCAAGTAATCGTAATAATTGAATCTACATAAAAGTGTGAACTCTTACACTTTAGAATTTGGAAATATGTTTCCTGCCTTTTATAAACCTTTAAAAACCATACATTTTCATCACTTATTTTCACATCTACACAAGGAAAATTGAAATATATTTCCTTTAAAAGAACTGAAAAAGAGAACTAATGCATGGCTTTATTGCCGAGAACTGATTTCTATGCTCTCTTTTGCTTGGGTAAAGATGCACACAGTTATCTGGCAGATGTTCCCTGCCACTGGATTCAGTACTCACAGTGATTCTTTCATCTTTATCATCCAGGGGTGAGCCATCCTTTTTCCAGGAGATGGTGGGCTCTGGATGGCCCCGAGGAGGCTGGCATTCCATTACTGCAGGCTCACCTACAGCCACCATGACATCTGAAGGGTTTTGTCTGAAGTCATCCCGTAGTACTGTAGGGACAAGATTAAATCATCACACTCAATGATGAAATATGCAGTCCTTATCTCTGAGCTTCAGCAAAAGTGACATTTATTAGAATATACTTCCACTAATGTCTATCTCCGTGCAGCTTGAAGAAGCCATATCTATTACAGGCATTTGCCGATTAGAAAAGGTACTTGTCCGTTAAGCATACTCAGAAAGGATTATTTCATATTCTTCACAGGCCAGCAAGCAGGTGCACTCTGCTGCTTCTTGCCCTCACAGTTAGCACTTCATTTGAATTGCATGTCTTTTCTGCCCACTGCCTACATTTCTCTCATCCATACACTAATGACCGTAACTGAATCTTCCTTTAGCTACAAGAAACATCAGGACAATGCTTTCTATCTATTACTACATCAACTGCATAACACAAACAAAAATATGAATGAAGACACTTAACAGCATACATTTAATTGATTTTTCTAGGTATTTAAATCACTGTAGATAACTGTATTATCAAGGTAATTTAAATATAGTCACTATGAAAACTTTACACACATTTGCCAACTACTTCAAAATCAGGGCATCTTTCCATTGTCCCTGGGTTAGAAGAAGCTAGAATCCATGTTATAATTAGCAATGGCATCAGAATTTATGTCCAAAAGTTATTTTTGTTAGGCAGTATTTTATTAAATCCATAAACCTATTTAGAATGAAATACACCATTCATCTCTTTTATATTGTGAGCTCTAAATTTTAATGGAATAAACAAACTATTAATGTCATCTCAACTGGACAGGAATACACTACTCCATACTATAAAATAAGCAGCATTATTTACTTAGTGACTAGAGGGAGGAAATGTGGGAAATTAAGCAAATAATGTGCTCTAAAAAGAGTTCTTACTGGGAAATTGTCCTTTATACCTTGATAACATCAATAGGTCATGAATTAAATCACAACCCTGTTCTTTGCTAGACAATTCTGAGCAGATTATTCAAAGCCTATATTTTTAAATACAAAGCAAGGAAGAAGACATATACATCAACACAATATCTAATAAACGGTTAACTTGTCCATACTCATTTTCCTTTATCCTGTGTGGAATAAGATGTGAACCATCTTATAAAGCAATTTAAAAGAACACTTAAAATGTTTATTTTTAAGTTAAGTACAGAAATCTGGAGTCAATAGTGTGTATCTTTAAAAACTACTGAATTGAATTTTAAAACTACAGTTGTATATTGGAATGGATTATTTTCATCCATGTGGCTTTTTGAAATGCTTTAATAGATGAAGCGCTATGATACTGAAAACCATGAGTCAAAATAAAATCACCCCTAAATTTAGCTCTCCTAGCCTCAAATAAACTTACTGGCTCCCAGTTGTTTATATTTTTTCCTTTCATTTCTTTTTCTTTCCCTTCTTCTGTGCTAACCATATTCATGTAACTCGGTAAGCCATGAGACTCAAGCAAAACTGGTTTTCTCTTGCAAGCTGAAACATCTTTGATGTAGTAACAGCATGCTAGCCTGGGGAAAACGCAGCTTCAAGGAAGAGTCTTCTATCTCATCTTTGGAAAGAACAGTGAATGACAAAGAAAACGAAGTATGACTGGCCCAAACTGTTCCAACACCAACTTTTACACTACAAACTCTTTTTTTTTTTTGGTTTTTCGAGACAGGGTTTCTCACTACACACTCTTAAAACAACACAGATACAAAGTGCATCTTGTTGAACTGGGATGTCTTTATTACCTCATTAAAAAAAATATAAAATAAACAGACCTGGAAGGCTTTCACCAGTTATAAGTTATATTGTTATTAGGTGTTGAGAATGAACAACAAACAAAATGTAAAGTTTATAGAAAAAACAAATTAACTGGTCTTAACAGGCAGCAAACTCCCATACTGGATCATGTTACTAGTCAGTGACAACACCTTGAAATGTTTTTTTATATGAATATTATTTTTATTTTTTATTAAGACATTTTTTATTCATTTTACATACCAACCACAGATCCCCCTCTCATCCCTCCTCCTGTTCCCCTCCGAAATGTTTTAACACTCCCAAAACACCCAAAAGTAAAATATCTTGCAAATGAAAGTAACTATGTTCTCCATTTTTTTCTAAGTGGTAGACTTAAAATAATCTTGGTCATACTTTATCTTATTTATAAATTAAGATCATAATCTCCAATAAGCCAACAAATAGTAAAAAGTCTTATGAAAATACAAAGCTATATTTTCCATTTATCATATTATTCAGGCTTGTTTTTATAGTGTAGAATAGAAAGCTAATAAAGTATAATCCATTAAAGATTGTTGCTTAGATAATGCTCATGTAACTATTTTTGCAGCTGTAAATTATAAAAATCCAGCATGCTTATGGCTATAGGCAATGTTTCATAAAAGCATGAGTTTAAGACTCTTTACTCTTCTATAAAAAATAATATTTCTTACCCATATTTGTCTTGAAATTTTCCTTTTGAGGATATTATCTGTCATATTATTAAATGACATTTTTAAATTGTCCAATTTTAAAAACTTGTGTGTAGCTGGGTGCTGGTGGTGCATTCCTTTAATACCAACACTCTGGAGGCAGAGGCAGGTGGATCTCTGTGAGTTCAGGGCCAGCCTGGTCTACAGGGCAAGATCCAGGACAGCCAAGGCTGTACTGAAAAACTAAAAAACCAAAACCAAAACCCAAACCAAAAATTCTGTGTGCATATGTAAGTAATTAAAAATTACTCTCAATGCTGTTGAGAACTTGACAATGTGCACTCCAAAGTTTGTATCTTAGAAATTAACAAATTAAGGTTGGGGAGATGGATTAGAGGGTAAAGTCGCTTGCAGATAGGCCTGATGACCTGAGTTCAATCTCTAGAATATAGGTGAAATGAGAGAAGTAACTCTCACAGTTGTCCTCTGACCTACACACACACACACACACACACACACACACACACACACACACACACACACACACACACACACACACACACACACAGAGTGGCGGGGAGGGTTGAGACAGAAGAGAGCCCTTGTTGCTCTTGCAGAGGACCCAGGGTAAGTTCCCAGAACCCACACAATGACTCACAGCCATCTGTAAATCTAGTTCCAGGGGATCTAAAGCCCTTTCCAGGCCTTTCTGGCCTCTGTGGGACCAATGACACAGGTGGTCCACAGGTATACATGCAGGTAAAACACCCACAGACACACTAAAAGTAATATCACATTACATCAAAATCTCAAATGAGAATCTAACAAATCAGAGCTTCTCAAGGGAGAGGCACATGACACAAAACCAATGAAAAACATAATACAATGGTAATCTTAGCAATGTAGGACACTTAAGACGTGTCCATTGCTCAGTATCAGCTCTTTGAATCATTTAATCTTCCTAAGAAACTAAGGATAAAGTGAGATTACCAACGTTATAACACAAATGGACACTGTGTAAAGAACCGGGGCCAAGCTTCAATCAGATCTCCAGCCACAAAGGGAGCTTCCCACCAAGCGGCTTGTCTATCAGTCTTGTTTTTAACACTCTCTGCAGTTACAAAGACTTAAGTATCATAGTGTAATTAGTCTTCCAGCCTCCTTCCAATGGAACAGAAGTTCACAGAGAAATTTCCCTCCTGACAGTCATATGGCTATCCTCTTAACATGTTGTACTCTACTTTTTCAGATCTTCCCATGTTTGGAAGGGACCTCTTCACATTTTGAGCAACACATTGAGATTCAGAATTCATTATCCAGAATACATATGATGTGTTACTTCTCATCAACAGTTTATTTCAACCACAACCCAACTGAACAGGCTGTACAATAATAAGCATTTTAATTAAACATGGGCATTTTAATTAGAATTCGGTATCTTGGGGAAAACAAAAGAAGATAGTATAGAGTCTTGGGATCTATTTTTCTACACAAAAGGCAATCTTATCAATGAAGTTTGGCAGCAAGCAGTAAAGTCGTGTTTATAAGGAGAGAAAAAATAAAGTCTGTAAAAAGTGGAGGGTACTGGAGGAGAAAATAAGTTAGAATACATGTACCTACTTATAAATTTGTAGTTCCTAAGTAATACATGCCTGTGTTAAGTAAATCATTCTACTTCTTTTCAAAATTATTAAACAATGTTCAACTTGAGGAAGAGTATAAATGAGTCACTTTTACAATACATCGTGATCCCTGGGTGAATGTCAACTTACAGGCTTTCATTAAAAGTTGTTATTCAATATCAAAATTAACTCTTTGATATAAGACATATGCACCAATTACAAATGTTGTGCCTGGTAACCTTGCTAAACAGATTTTCTATTTTCCTAATACAAGATAAAAATATATTCAAACAGTCTTGGGTTAGGGAGTTGGCTCAGCTAATAATACACTTACTCTAAAAGCATTAGGATCTGAATTTGATGCCCAGTATCCACATAAAAATGTGTGGTGGTATATGTTTACAATCTCATCACTAGTAGGTAGAGATGGGCAGACTCCTGAGACTCAGTGGCCAGCCAGCCATCCTAACATAATGAGTGAGTTCCACACCAGTGAGAAACTCTGTCTCCAAAACCAAGGTGAATGGCTCATGAAGAGTAACACTAATGAGGGCCCTTTGACCTCCAGAAGCATAGGCACCCACCTACATGCAGCCTCTGACAAATGAAACACACACACACACACACACACACACACACACACACACACACACACACGCGCGCCAAAAAAGAAATCCTTGTCAGAAATAGAAATTGAATAGGATTTGCTGTAGATTATTTTGAATCAACAGATCTATTTTGGGAGCTGTACAGGGATGTACAGGAATATCTAAACAATTTGTCATCTGAACTTTTAGTTAGGAAGTGATATTTATAGGGGACAAAGAGTTTTAACTATCTCAAGTTATTCTGAAATAAATGATCAGATTTTAACTTTAAAGAGTTCATATGCTCAAGAAGATAGCACATTAAGTATGAAAACTAAAATGACGGAATGTAAAATAATATTCCACCAAGTGTTGT